TGATCACTGGCACTTTACAAAGCGTAGATTTGAATATTTGATGCACGTGGAACTGATGAGTGAGTTTTGTTGTGTGTGATTATGATGGAAACTCAAGCTCCTACCTGACTTTGACGTAGTCGGACAGCAGCCAGCGGTAGATGGCCTTTGTGGCGTGAGTCATGAAGGTTCGTCCTTTAAAGCTCGTCTTCTGCAGGAACCAGGGGAGGGCGCCACAGTGGTCCAGGTGAAAGCTGGAGATACAGGAAGAGGACGTAAACTGAAGTCATGAAGGAACCGCCAGAGATCCAACCTGAGGTCTGTGTGTGGTGATGAATGAGAGTCTGTGAACTCACTGGCTGATGAGCAGCAGGTCGATCTCAGCCGGATCAATCAGGTCGATGTACGGAAGAGCGTCCATTCCCTCCAGGCCCGGATGGATCCCACAGTCCAGCTACAGCATAACACACACACACACACACACACACACACACACACGTTAGCACCCTCAGGGCACCGTGCACACTAACCTACAGAGGACGTGATGACAACGTTACCATGATCTTTCGTCCCTTGAACTCCAGGATGATGCAGGACCGTCCCACTTCCTGTCCAGCTCCTCTGGACACAAACACACAGAAATCATGTTTCTGTCCAAATAAAATTCAAGTTATGACGGCAACGTATCAATTCATGTATATATATGAAGTAATAAACTCAAAATATATAAATACATGTGTATATCTTCATGAGTCAACACCTGGATGAAGTCAGACTATAGATGAAGTTAGACTATAGATGAAGTTAGACTATAGATGAAGTTAGACTATAGATGAAGTTAGACTCAGACTATAGATGAAGTCAGACTATAGATGAAGTTAGACTCAGACTATAGATGAAGTCAGACTCAGACTATAGATGAAGTTAGACTCAGACTATAGATGAAGTCAGACTCAGACTATAGATGAAGTTAGACTATAGATGAAGTTAGACTATAGATGAAGTTAGACTATAGATGAAGTCAGACTATAGATGGAGTTAGAC